CGTATATTTTATGTTTAATAAAATATAAAAGAGTAAACAAAAAACAAAAATCAACAAATAAAATTTTGTTCTTATTATTTTAAAAAAAAATGTAGGAGGGGATTATAGAATATTAGGAGAAGAAAATTAGAAAAAAAAAAATTAAATTTAGATGAGCCACGAGCAGGCTCGTGGGCACGAGCCCACGAGTTGCTCGACGAGCGGCTCGCCTTGGGCGAGCTTAAGCACGAGCCGAGCTCGCCCAAAATCCAACGAGAAACGAGCCACGAGCTCGGCTCGTGTTCGCGTGTGGGTATGGGCTGAGCCGGCTCGACTCGGCCCATTGACATCCCTATATTCACGTGGGAGTGAGATCCATGCGAATAAAAAGGTCAAAAAAGTGCTCCCCTATTGTGAGTATGCTGTCAGAGAGGATGTCAAACTCTGGCAGCATTGTAAAACCTTATTTTACTTTGTACCTTTTCCATAAAAAATAAAAACTCATGGGCAGCAAAAGCTCGGCTCAGCCCAGGCTGCCTACAAGCTCATTGCCACCCCTACTTTGAGGGTACTTTTGCCCCCAGTGACTGTGAGTCTCTGATTACCTTGCATAGACTTGACATTGCAGGAACGTTAGTCACACAATTTTCCTTCAAATGAAAAAATTCACATGCTTAGAACTTTAGAATTGAGATCTTTTGATTCAAATGAAACTCCTCTTGTGACAAGATTAACTACAATTATTTGTGCAATGAATAGATTCCACACGACATATTTCCTTCTCTGTAATTGCAACCAGCACCAAATCCATTTACACTTGAAAATCAGTTGCTAGTCATCATCACTGGAATCCCAACCTAGAAAGTCCTCGATGGGAAACCCAGGAATTCTAGGACCAGGAAGGGAAGTAGGTTCGGGTATTTCCATTTGCTTTGCAGACACGTGCTTAGCCGCCTCTAGAGCGATACCATTTGGGCGGCCTCTAAACATCCCGGTGATTATACCGCTAATGGATCCCAAAGGGTTGCGCAAACCATCTTTAATTTTCAAAATAAGAGAGACTTCAGATAGTTGCCATGCAACGGTTAAAACAATCAATGCTGATAGAAGGCAGTGGGTGACAAAATTCTGCTTCTTCACCTCCTTAAGCTCTTTGGTTATGTCCTCATTTGTGATCCCAGAAGCTCTACTTCCCACTGCTTCTGCCATCTCACTCTTTCCACTATTTTTGGGAGAATTCTCTTCATCAGCCGACTCTCCAGATTGTTGAGGGATGCCGTCCAATGACTCTAACTGTTAATGTAAGTAATTGGGAATCAAAGAAAGAAACCATTTTCCACAGATATGCAATTTGTCAAATGAAAACAAATGAATGGTAGAAAACCAAAAAGGAATTATTTCAACTGATGAATCTAGATCATCAAATAATGGTCTTGCCTATATGTGTAGTAGAATGATTCGGAGTTCTTGCCGAGTGAAACCATGCAGTACTAGACACAAGATACATCTTCCTTATGGGATACCTATTGAAGAACATATTCCGGGGTAGGCGCTGTGCAGAATGAACAATTTTAAACTAGACTTCATGTTCATTGGATGAATAAGATCAACAAGATCTCATGATCAGCTGTTGCCTGGTTCGAAGAGCTCGGATTGAATCATTTCCGAGCTCTCTTATTTCCTGCTTGGAATTAAATTACAAAACAGCGGATCACCAAGATTTCATAGGTGTATAGTTCAGAGAACTCAATTTGAATGTTTCAAAGCTCACCCATTTTTAGCAAGAAATTGAAATACAGAACCTTCAAAACTCGGACAGAGTAATGTTAATTCTTCGCTTAATTTACTGTGCTTGTTGGTATTGACTGGCGAGAATTCTACCATGTTAATGACAAAAAAAAAACAATTTTCTAGCAATTAAAATTGATGTTGGGAGCCTATAGCTATGGAGGAGGCTGTATCACCCAGAATCAAGCCGGATCCCCTCCCCCTCCTTCGAAGTAAAAATTCTACTTCTACAAAAATTGCCCATCCCACAAGCAAGTTGCCAGCCATGAGCATTTTAACTGTAACTTCCTTTTTCAGTAAACTGAATGAACACAGCAATTGCTGTAATTACGAATTCAACCGTGTTCATCACAAGTAATATCAAATATGCACGTGCTTCCCAATTTCAATTTTAGCAACTAGCCAGATTAATTACTTTGAGTTTGAGGCAAAAAAATTAATCTACCAGAAACCACTCACACTCTCGTTTACTAACAGAAAATTACGTACATAAGAGTATATTTTGGTACCTGAGAAAGCAATTTGGAGAGTAGCTGGCGGCGTCCACCAGTATTTTTATCATCTTCGCTGTCCGCCGCATAGCTTTCGAGGAGAGAAGATCTATTGGGGTTAAATTTTTCATCCTCCAATTCCATTAATTGCTTTATAGCTCGTTGAATCATCTCTATTTTTACTTCTTCCGATTCCATTTCCTATTTCATCACTCTCTGAATTTTTCTCTAGCTGGTTCTAGCCGAAAAGATGTCAGGATGACCAATTCAAGTGAAGTTAATAGACGGATTTTGTTCAGCCGTCAAGCTTAACCATAAAGATTTTGTACCTTTCCACTTGGCAGTATTTTACTCGTCTCATCAGATACGTCGCGATATACATATGCATATACCTATTTTATTTATGGATATTGTTGACCTCAAAATCTGTTCAACTAATCAACAAAATTGATGAGATCCATGATACGAGAACTAGCGATGACAAGGATTCGTTGATCATGAAAGAAAGACCAATGACTAGTTCACGAGCAAAAAAGTTCAAAAAAACTACTGTGAATGAAACATCGATCATAATAAGCAAAATGACAAATTTTATATTGGACATGAAGGACGGAACAAGGTGGATCAATTTGGTTAGAGCTGCGGATGAGGGAGCTGAAATAAAGACCTATGCGACCGCATAGGGTAACTAAGCATGTGATCGCATAACCCCTTATTGAAACTCAGTTGAAGGCTAATGACTAGCCTATGCGATCGCAAGCCATTAGCAAGCTGCATAGTTTAGAATTGGAACGCGATTTTTTCTAATTTCGCATAGAATTCTATTTTAGTTAAAACTCTTGTATTGTATCTTTTTGATATCTTTTAAGGCTTAATTCCATTTTTAATTAGGTTTTATGAGTTTCATATAAATATAACTCGTTTCATTCATTGAAAAACACACAATTTGAGAGATATTATTACGAGGCATATTGTTTTCTTCTTGTTTTTCATCAAATTAATTCCGAACTTATCAAGAATTAAATTCTTGTGACGTTCAACAATTCAAGTAAGGTTACAAAATTTTGTGATCGCGGAGTCAAGATATTATTGCAATCGTCTTTGTTCTTTGATTCAATAATTTATTGAGTCAAACTTTTTTTCAAAACATTAATTCTTGACTTTCTTGGGATTGATCTAATTTGCCGTGAGTTTCGTAATTACAATTGCTATGTGAGTTCGCATCAATTGGTATCAGAGCTTAGTTTCAAAAATTAAGGTTATATCATTTAATTTTTAGTTTCATCTTCATTCTTTGTGTTCTTCATTTTTTAAGTCAATTAAAATAACAAAAAAAAAATTCAAAAGTTGTTTGTACACTAAATTAGTGCCTAAATCAATTACTTATCGATTTTTTGGGTTCTTTGTTGAATCTTCACGCACTTAGTAAAAAAGTGTCCAATCCGAATTCGAGAAACACTTTTTTTGAATTTATCTTTGACATTTCCATTCAAAGTTCAAATTCCTAAGTCTTAAATCATTCTAGATTATTTTTCTTACTCAATTCTTTGTTTGAACTTCAAGAGGGTTGAAAGTTTGATTGAGATCGAATTTATTCTTTGAAGCACTTGCAAGGAAGTGTTGATTGGAAAAAGATAGAGTGGTGAGACTAATAGAAGGAAAAGCCAAATTGAGCGATACATGAATGTACACACGTGAGACAAATATTATTCTAGATTTAGGATGTCTGATAAAGACGATTCTACTTCAAGCAGGAAGAATAGTCAAGTCATCATGACGGAGGAGATGATACGACGATTTGAAATGTTGTTTGGTGATATCGGAGATAGAATGGATATGCAAGATGCATGGATGAAGAGTCAAGACACATTGCTAGCTAATTTGCTTAGGGTACAACCTAGAGAAGTTCCTAACATAAGGAGGCAAGGAAGGTAGGATCGTATAACGGATATTGGTGGTGAAAATGAAGCAGGTAGTAGGATTAATGATGATGCATTGGTGGATGCTGAAATAGGAAGGATGATGAATAGATAAGATATGTATGATAGGAGGGCTAGAGATTATGCCAGAGATGGAGTTGACAAAAATATGTGCAATATTAAAATGACAATTTCTTCATTCAAAGGAAGAAGCGATCCAGAGGCATATCTGGAGTGGGAGAAGAAGATAGAGTTTATATTGGATTGTCATAACAACTCGGAGTAGAAAAATGTAAAACTTGATATCATTGAGTTTACTGATTGTGCTATCATTTGGTGGGATTAAATAGTAACAACTAGGAGGAGGAATCTTGAGAGGCCTATTGAAACATGGGGAGAATTGAAGGCTATCATGAGGAAGATGTCCGTTCCTAATCATTACTATAGGGATCTTTATAAAAAATTACAAAGCATTTATCAAAGATCTAGGTGTGTGGAGGATTATCACAAAGAGATGAAGATTGCTATGATTAGAGCGAATGCTGGGGAGAATCGGGAGGCCACCTTGACCCGATTTTTGAATGGTTTGAATAAGGAGATAGCTAATGTGGTAGAACTATAATATTATGTGGAGTTGGAGGACATGTTACATGTAGCTACGAAGGTGGAGAGACAGTTAAAGAAGAAGAGAGCGGCTAGATGCCCATCGGGCTCTTCGGGTTCTAATTCTTCTTGAAAATCAAAGTGGGATAACAACAGAGGTGACAAGGCTGTTTCGAAAGGTAGAACTGAGCTATTGAAAGGAAGAGAGGAAGTTGCTAGCAAAGCTACACCCAAGGTGGATTCACAACCCCATCGGAATTGGGATATCAAATGCTTTAAGTGCTTGAGATCGAGACACATTGCTTCTCAGCATCCAAACAAAAGGGCGATGATCTTGTGAGACAATGGAGAAGTGGTGAGTGATTGTGAGGGTGAGGGCAAATATGATGACTTGCCGGAATTGGAAGATGCTAGTGATGGTGAAAAAAATGGAGTATGCAGTGGGAGAGCTGTTGGTTACATGACGAGCTCTTAGTGCTCAAATCAAAGTGGATGATTTGGAGCAACAAATGGAGAACATATTTCATACAAAATGACACGTCAACAACAAGGTATGTAGTATGATTATTGACGGGGGTAGTTGTACCAATGTAGCTAGCACTACACTTGTTGAGAAATTGAGATTAACTACGCTAAAACATCTTAGACCTTACAAATTGTAATGGTTGAATGAATGTGGAGAGGTTAAGGTGAATAAGCGTGTATTGGAGAGTTCTCAATTGGGAGATATCAAGATGAAGTGATGTGCAATGTAGTTCCTATGCGTGCCCGACATATTTTGTTAGGGAGGTCATGTCAATATGATAGGAAGGTGATGCACGATGGGTACAAAAATAGGTACAACTTTACTAAAGATGGAAATTCTATTACTCTTACGCTATTAACACCAGCACAAGTTTACGAAGAACTCAAATTGAAAAGTGAAGAAAAAAAAGACAGAGAAAATGAGAGTGAGATTGATCTTTCACAACAAGAAAGTAAGAGAAAAAAGTGAGGTGGCTAATTGTGATGAGAAAAGAGTATAGCCACAAAAGAGTAAAGAAAAAAATTCTTATGAGAGGGGAGAAAAATCGCAAGTGAATTTCTTTGCAAAATGGAGTGAGCTGAAGAGGGTAGTAGTTGAGAACCGACCTGTAATCTTATTGGTTTATAAGGAATCACTCCTCAACTTTGAGGAATTTAAAACACCAGTCCCTAATTTGACTACTTCTTTATTGCAGGAATTCGAAGACTTGTTTATGAAGGACATGCCTAGTAGGCTACCAAAAATGAAGATCATGATATGGAGTCAAAAAATATATTTCAATCCATATAGAAAATGCTCAAAAATCGAATAATATTAAACTTCAATATCCAAAATCCGAAAAAATAAAAAAAATCATATATATAATGGATGTGTGTTAACATATAACAGATCTGTAAGAAGTACAATCTACAAAACAATAAAGCATTCAGATCAATAGAAAATGTAGAATAAAACATTGATTACATACAAACCTTACATATTATGAGTATATAAAATCTGAAAATGATGAACTTTCTATGTATTTTACACACATATATTGTTACGTGAGAAGCAAGTGGGGGAAAGAAGAAGCAAAATCAGAAAGAAGAGAGGAAGAAGAAGGCAACAGAATTACCTGACTTTGGAATTCAAAATGGCGTCGTTGCAACTTGAGCGAAACAGTGTCGTTTTGAATTAATAAATTGTAATAGTTAGAAATCATTTTTTCAATTTAAAATGTGTCCAAACACGACTTCAATCGGAGTATATCTACCTCCCTGTGTAAAGGAAGAAAACAGTCCGCTATTTTTCTGCCAAATTGGTTGTTAATTGAAATGATTCAATTCAATCCTCTCCTTCTCATTCTTATTTTACATCATTTAATCCCTCCCCATTCTATTTTACTTTGAATTTAGTATCATAAATTCCTTATTTCAGCTGGAGTAAATTCCAGTGTTGATTTGTACAAAAAAGCTGTGTTTGCGAGTTGGAGTTCCAACCGTGACAAATTGGTATCAGAGCTGGTGTATATTACTGGGTAATTGTTAGAAATTGATACAGGACTAAAACAATTGATAAACATTTGAAGAAATTAGATCTCGAAGTGGCGGATTTGGGTACAAGTTTTAAGGTTGTTACTGGCAGACTGGAAAATAAACATGAATCTACAGATCAAACTCTTCAAGTACTGAATAGTAGGTAGGAGAAAATAAAAGATGTTGTGTTGGAGGAAGGAACAAGATGACACGTTTCATATTGGACATGGAGGACGAAACAAGATGGACCAACTAGGTTCGAGCAATGGATGAGGGAGCTGAAGTGAAGACCTAAGTGATCGCATATGGTAACTAAATATGCGACCGCATAGCCCCTTACTGAAACTTAGTTGAAGGTTGATGACTGGCCTATGCGACCACAAGCCATTAGTTTATTGGGACGCATAGCTGAGAACGAGGACGCGATTTTTCAAATTTCGCTTGTATGATATCTTTTTGATATCTATTAAGACTTAATTCTATTTCTAATTAGGTTTTATTGAGTTCCATATAAATAAGACTCATTCTATTCATCGAAAAACACATAATTTGAGATATATTATTGCGAGACATATTGCTTTCTTCTCGTTCTTCATCAAATTAATTCCGAACTTATTAAAAATTAAATTCTTGTGGTGTTCAACAATTCAAGTAAGGTTCATAAATTTTGTGATCACGAAGTCAAGATATTGTTGCAATTGTTTTGCTTATTTAGTTAAATAATTTATTGGGTCGAGTTTTTTATCAAAACGTTGATTCTTGGCTTTCTTGGGTTTGATCTAATTTGTCGTGGATTTCATAACTACAATTGCTATGTGGGTTCGCATCAAAAATTCATGTCACCTCCCTGACTCACGTAGACATCACCTTCATACAGTGTTGGTACATGTCATCCGTCCAAAAAAATAAAATAAAAAATCAACGTGACTATTTATATTTTGATAGTCAAAAATCAACAATCAGAACTGAATTGAACAAGTGCAAGAGAGATGGATGATAGGATTTCACTATGATTTAGAGTACATACGAGTAAATGGACTAGATGAAAATGGGGCAAAATGGATTTGGTAAATCAAGCCAGGTCAAATAAGAGGCTTCTTGATTTGATTTGTTCAATTCAATTGACATCATCGATGTCCAATAAGATAATGTGAAACTCCCTCAACCACGTCCATGTCACAAAACTTTAGATATAACATATAGAACTTGTTGGGGAGAAATTTTTGGGGAAAAAATTGATTTTGAATAGTGATATGATGAAAAATGTGCTGTTGAAAAAGAAGAAAAAATTATTAATATGATGAAAAATATTATTTTATTAAAGAATGTGTGGTTGAAAATGAAAATTGATTTACTGTAGAAAAATCTAATCCCTCCCAAACAGAGCCATAGTATGATCAACGTTGAAATTAGGCCCATGTTTGATATACATTCTTAAAAAAATTCATTATTTCAAAATTCATTTTCAATCACACATTTTTCAATAAAATAATATTACCCGTAAATTCAAAACTTTTTCTTATTTTTTAACCTCATATTTTCCATCACACTACATGATAAAATGTATTTTTTTTCTCCATAATGTGCATCAAACAACCTCTAGTTCTTATTTCTTAATGTGTAAAGTCAACTGTTACTTGTTAGATGTACTTACGAGAACGTGCATGTTAGTCTCAATCTACCTCCTACCAGGAAAATCCAAAAATATTTAAAAAAATGGCAAGACAAAATTCTCACAAGAACCTCTTATTCATCCTGAATGTAATAATGATCCTACTACATATATATCAAAATTTACATAATGAATTACAATATGCCACAAAACACTTTATCATTTACGAGTTTAAAACACAATCAACTTTTTTATCCAATCTTTTCACTCCTCATCATATTATGTAATATATTATATAAATTTTTTATGTATAATTTCCCAAACAGAGCCATAGTATGATCAACGTTGAAATTAGGCCCATGTTTGATATACATTCTTAAAAAAATTCATTCTTTCAAAATTCATTTTCAATCACACATTTTTCAATAAAATAATATTACACGTAAATTCAAAACTTTTTCTTATTTTTTAACTACATATTTTCCATCACACTACATGATAAAATGTATTTTTTTTTCTCCATAATGTGCATCAAACAACCTCTAGTTCTTATTTCTTAATGTGTAAAGTCAACTGTTACTTGTTAGATGTACTTACGAGAACGTGCATGGTAGTCTCGATCTACCTCCTACCAGGAAAATCCAAAAATATTTAAAAAAATGGCAAGACAAAATTTTCTCACAAGAACCTCTTATTCATCCTGAATGTAATAATTGATCCTACTACATATATATCAAAATTTACATAATGAATTACAATATGCCACAAAACACTTTATCATTTACGAGTTTAAAACACAATCAACTTTTTTATCCAATCTTTTCACTCCTCATCATATTATGTAATACATTATATAAATTTTTTATGTATAATTAGCAAAATCCATGTAATATAATGGAATGTGCTGCTCTTTGCTGCTGTTCATTAACCAACATTTACAAACCATGGGACACAAAGATCCAGCTAGAAAATATCTTAGCCTGTAAAATGTACAGAAGAAGCCGAGTTTATGATCAGGAATTGCAACTGTCTGCTGGTAAGCACAGTCATTTTCCATATGGGACTCGTCACCACGAGAAGATGATGCTGTTTAGGATTCTGGAATTTCAAGCTCAGCCTGCCACATTTTACGATTAATGCCAAGTCAAAAGTGCACAAATTTCATGAGAAAGAATAGAGAATGGAACGTTATGCACTTGGCAGTTGGCAATTAGATGTTTGTAGTCGTAACTAAAAGCATTTAGAATGCATATATATAGCTAATGAAGCTGAAGCTGAAGCTGAAGCTGAAGCTGAAGATACACTACCTCCATCCCGAACATCAAGTTTCTTTAGAGACATTCATTTATTATCACCAAGATTTCATTCAACATCCTATAGATGTTTATATCGACAGTTCTTTTTTATTTTGGCATAAAGATTAAGAAAAAATAAGAACCAAATATAAAGAAGACATGCTCGTGATCTTGAGACAAACATAAAGAAAGAAAGCAATTCTTTTATGAAGCTTTTATTACCTTCGCTTGAATATATTTTTCAAAAATACGCTTATATTGCTGACGTGCCTCTGGACATTCGACCATAGACAGTACCCTGGAGACAGCCTCATTAATAGCTGCATCCACTTTTTGCTTACGAAACACCTTGAGAATGTCTTCATCCTCATTTTCCTCTATGAATTCGTCAAGCCGAAATCCCCTCAAACCAACTCCTCGCCGGCGCCACCTCAGCACCACCTTCTCCAATATACTAACTGCCCAGCATACCATATAATACCTCCTAATCTGATAGCCTCTCACATGGGCCTGCAACGAAAAGAACTAGATAAGAGCCCCATCTTATAACCCTTTCAACTAATTCATTGAAATGCTTTGGCGAATTTAGAATATATCCCCAAGTTCCATAATCTTTTTGACTGGGGGTGGGGGGATCAAAAGATGTACTTGCCAAAGGGAAATTACAGTGGTAGAACACATTCTATGAAATGCACTTGCAGCCTGCAGTATCATTAATTTAGCAGATTTGTAATTTTACAGGCCTACATCTTTCATGTAAGAGATTCTTTCCTAGCTTTAATTTATGTGCTCAATACCAAGGATGCCATCTGGAATGGAAGTTCATCTTCTTTAACCTTATATTTATATATGTGATAAAAAAGTCAACCCTCAACTTTTTTGTTCTAAACTTCACAACTTGTACAAGTCAGTCAAAGAACTAACAATATTTCTTGCTAAAATTACTTGTACAAATGGCATCTTTTTTTGTTCTAATGCGATTGCACCCTACTCATTGAGTTTCATACACCAGAAAGCTATACAATTCATTGTCTCGTTGTATACAAGTAATATACTTGGGAAAAATTGATGCACCTGTATCTTCACTACTTTCTGGAGATACGCAAGGAAGTTCTTCCGCCCTTTCCAGCCTCGATATTTCTTCTGAATAGACAGAGCAGCTTTGTTGTAGTCACGTGTATTACGAAATGCCACTTTCGTTGCAGCTGAAAGACCCTGAACGTCCTTTGATAATATACTGCACTCATCACCACTAGCATCATCAATGGCAACTGTAGCTTCTCTCTGTAGCCTTTTCCGAAAAGAATGTTCACGAAATGCAGATTGAATACGTGCAGCAGCCTGAGAGGCATTCCGGACTGCAGCTAAGGTGTACTTCAGAGAGTCCTGATCCTCATTTGTAGAAAAGCTTGCATTTGATATACTATTTACGGTTCTTTCTGCTTCCAGAGCAGCAGATCCTTTAGATAGCACACTTTCTTCCAGTGTGAGGGATGAGAGATGTCCAGTTAGTGCCATTTCTGAAAGATAACCTGCAAGTCCCCTATGCCCACTTGAAGCAGCAATGGATGCAGGAGTTTTACCAGTTGGGTCCTGTGAATTAGGATCTGTAACTGCTCCAGAAGATGCACCACATGCTATGAGAGCAGCAACCATTTTTTCCCTGTTATAAATATAACATTTTATATAAATCATGCTTTCCAACAATAATAATAAACAATTTACTAAGGAAGTCTTCCATTAATGGCACTAGCATAAATAGCAAGAGATTCATTTTTTAACCCTTTCTGTTCACAAATTGACCAGACTGAAACATAAAATTAGTGATAACTGATATGTACATTGGTGTTTGGTTATGCAATAACAATACCAAGACCAAAATATTCAAAACGTGTGTTTTAAACTATATTTGGTACTACTTGGAAGATTAGTAATAAAGGGTGAAAAATTTAACTCAATTCAGTTTGAAGTAACATACCTAGTATAGGAGATTTGATTGTATATTGCTTAATTTCGAAGATGCAATTCTATTATATAAAGGAGAAGGACAACCTAAATTGAGGCATTCAATCCAATTAACATTGAAGACATCAGAAGATGGAGTTGCATTTTGTCATTTCCTTCACCTTTTCCTATGTAATTCAAGAAATTCCTTTGTATTTTTTGAATGATAATTTGAGTTATAGAAATATTTCAAACAAGAGTTGAATGCAACTTCACTGTGTAAAAGTGCCAAATGTCATGAAACTGACAGATATGAGATATCCAAGAAAATGGAAAAATAAGATAGGACTTACCTCCCAAAGTGTGCAGCCCAATGAAGTGCAGTCCACCCATTGATATCTCGAAAATTTACACCGACTCCAGAACTAAGAATGGGCTGTAGCGCCCACTCAAATCCCAATCCAGCAACCATGTGTATGATCCCAAGTTCTTTCTTAGATGAATAAGAGTCTAGCTGGTTATTCTCCCGTAATCTAGAAGAAAGCCATTGTTCTAACTTGTCCTTCAGAAGTTCCTGTAAGAGACATTCCATAGTGTTTGATGATGTTGAAGTGCCGACTAAAAGATCATCAATGATTTGGCTCCACGAATTTTCAGCCATTTTTGACTTGCTCAACAAATCAATTCTAGATTCATGGCCATCTCCTTTTTGTGCCGATGGATCAGAGAGAAGCATCTGTACAAATCGGACAAGCAACAAGAGTTCTTCTGAGCTCTTGCTAGTCTCTGCTCCAGTGATGTTACTGTGTGTGCAAACACTAGGCTTAGCAAGATATTCGAATTCCCTAACTTCACTGCAGGACTCCCGATTTCCTGAAGTAATGCAGAGAGTGACTCTTCCAGGCGAGCGAGGAGGAACATTGCAGCGAATAACACCTTCTTGAATGATCTGGGCAGAAACTTCAACGTCACCAAACATACAAGCCCATGCACACTCCGACGGACTGCAGAGGAAAGACCCAATAATGACAACCTGCAAAGAAGAATTTGAACCCTGAAGAGCCTTGTTCAAAAATCAATGGTGACTTGACAAAACCAAAAAGAAATTCAAGGTGTTGAGTTTAAAGACCAAACGAAAATAATTTTATTAACAAAAATATTTTTACAAACCAAGAACACAACTCACAATATCTATATTAAAGGAAGCTCTAATTATTTCCTCTCTCTCTCCACTCACCATCTCTCACTGCACTCTCTCTCTCTCTCTTCACTCATTCACAAAATGCAGGCAACCAAAACACACATAAATATACAGAGATGTCGGTGGAATTGCTTCTTCTAGTATGTCCATGAAGACACATTCGTAATTCTAGATAATTCCCTTCATGGTGGTGGAGATAAATTATTCAACGGGTTCTTGGTAATTCCAAGTCTACTTGGAGAAGAAGCATCAAGAAATGGGCTGTAAAATATGAGATGGATAAACCCACAAAATTCTGGAAATTTCTCTAGGTGGTGATCTTCAATTCTTTCCTTCAACTTCAATACCAACTTTTCATTTTGACTCTTTTCTTTGTCGTCACGTCAAGGTATCTCTGAAGCTTGACGAATTTTGAAGTGCTTGATCCTTCATTTAATCTCCCTAGCCCTTCATTCAATGTATTTGACTCTTTCATGCTTTTCTCATTATCATTTTTTAGATCGATATTTGATTTCTCATGTTTTCTCGACTTCCTTATTTGTGATTGTGAATTTATACGTACCTCAAACTCTTGTTGACTCGGCCGTATATCCTCTGGTGTTGTCTGATGCACACTCATTTGCCAAGGACTTTCTATTGTGCCAAGAAACTCCTTCTTATCACTTGATTCTTGTACATCTTTTGTTTCCTCAAGACTTGGTTGTATTTCTATGATAGCCTCTTGCAATTTGTCATCTATTTCCTTTGAATCTAATAACTCCACCATCTGCAATGTCCACCATGAAAATGCTTCGTCAAACACCACGTTCCTTAATGTATAATGGTCGGTTGTAGGGTCGCAGCATCTCCATCCTTTTCTTAGATTTTCATATCCCACAAATATACATTTAATTGCCTTCTTATCAAACTTGCTCCTTAAGTGATCAGGCACATATACATAATAGACGCAACCAAAGACACAAAGGTGACTTATTGTTGGCTTCATTTTCCACAGTTTCTCAAATGGTGACGTGAACCCCAGCTTTGGTTGTGGTAGCTTGTTGATCACACATGTTGCTGTTCTTATGCACTCTGCCCAAAACCTTCCTGTCACATTCTTTGCATGTAGCATACTACGACACGTTTCTGCAAGGTGCCGATCATTTCTTTCTGCTACACCATTTTGTTGCGGAGTATTTGGACATGTCAATTGGTGGTGTATCTTATGTTCTTTTAAGTACGAGGAGAATTCTCCTAATGTATACTCTCCTTCATTATCCGTGCATAGGTACCAAATCTTATTTTCGACTTCTGTTTTTTCTTTGAACTCCTTAAACTTTATAAACGTCTCAAATTTTTCTTTCATAAAGAAAATTCAAAAGTACCTTGAGATGTCATTGATGAATGTCACCATGTAGAGCATCCCTTGATTTGATGGTTGCCTGACAGGTCCAAACACATCAAAGTGTAATCTCCAATAGTTGCTTTGCTCAATAACTTGACTCCTGATACGGTAGCTGATGTGCTTTACCATATTGTCAGCCAGCACATACCGAGATGGCAAAATGATGCGTCGGCTCCGGGCTCGGCCTGGAAAAAGCCCGAGCCGGGCCGACTCGTGGCTCGGTGGGGCCAAGCCGAAGCTCGGGTCGAGCCCCATTTTAGGGGCGTCGGCCGGCACGTGAGCCTAAAAAATTAAAAAAAACTTGCTTGCCACTTTTTTTAAATGTTAATAATTAGTCATTATTTATAATACTTATAAATTGCACAAATTTTAAATTCTTAAAAAAAAATTAAATTTGTCACGAATAAAAAAAATGAGCCGGCTCGACTCGCTAAAGCCTAAGCCGAAAGCTCGGGTCGAACCTAAATTTTTTGGTCGAGCTTTTACTCTACTCGGCTCGGGCCAAAAAGAGCTCGAAGTATTTTTACTCGAGCCGAGCCCGAGCAAAAAGTTTCGACTTGCGGCTTGACTCGTTGACACTCCTAGCACAAACCGTATCATCTTTGATCTCGAGTTGAGGAAGAATCTTGAGCAACAACTTCTTTATCACCATTTTCAACTTATGATAATTCACATGTCCTAGTCTTGAATGCCATAAATCTGTTGTCTCATTCTTTCGAGTCTTATCTACGTATGCAGACTCTGCTAAAATTACGTAGATGGACTTTTGTCTTCGTCCTTCCATTATTAGTGTACCTAAAATTTTTATATTTTGATAAAACTTGACATCTTTCTGCCCAAACAGAACGTGGTTACCTGATAACGTTAGCTATGCCACTGATAAGAGATTTTTCTTCATTCCTGGGACGTGATAGACGTCGTGTAACTGCACCTGACTAGGACTAAAATGAGGCATGATAACTGTCTTACCAATACAATCTTGAATTGTTGGCAGTTCCCACCATTCGGCCTCCCTTGTACTCCGTTGTATTTTGTAGCTTCCCTTTTATCACCTGTAATGTGGTTGGAACACCCAGAGTATACGATTCAATCGCTTTCATAATCTATTCGTCCAGTGAGCATCACTATTAGTGCCGATTCTTCCTCGAGGTCTATACTGCATTCCTCTCCTTGAGTATGCTCTGTTAGTGCAAGCGATAGTACAGCATCCCATTCTCCTTTCACTATTGTATTTTTCTTGCTTATTAGAGGTTGCCATATTGCCTTCTGCTGGCTTTTGCTTGAATCGGTAGTCTCTAGCATAATGACCTCGTTTGACACATACAAAACATGAGTCATTAATTTGTTGAAATCCCTTAGACAGCCGACCTCTCTTGTTGCGACTTTGTTTGGCTCCCCTTATCACAAAACCTTCTTCATGTTTATTTTCTTTTAGTACTGTATTATTTTGTTGACAGGGTCGACCTCTTCCTTTATAACTATATAGTGCCTTCTTTCTTCATTGAGACCCTAAAATTTGCTTGATCAAGAGCACGCAGTCCAAGAGGGCTAAGGTATAAACCAGAAATCGAGATTTGTTTTAAAGGAGCACACCTCTAGTAGGATCAAGGGAGACTACAGGAATTGAGGTCAGAAGTTCTACGGGGTAGACGAGTTTGGACCGTACTGTAAGTTTGCTTTGATTTATAGTAGATTACTGACGGGCAAAGCGCTCGAAGTTTTCATCCAGTTAAGATTTCTCCGTAATCATTTTTAATGTTCTTTACTGCATTATTTATTGATTGTGGTATTCAAACTTATGACAAATTAACTTGTTTGATCTAACTATCTAGACTCTCTATCGTGAGCAGTGAGACTGGAGACCAAAATTGGAAGGGTTAGATTTTTCTACTATTAATGAGGAGAATACTAGTTGGTTAGAAAGACCGTTTGGGGAGGATGAAATTAGGGAAGTGGTGTTCAGGATTAATGACAATAAGCTCCAAGACTCGACGATTTCTGTCTCTTTCTATAAGGCTTGTTGGGAAGTGGTGCGATCAGACATTGTGGATGTCCTTACTTATTTTTTCCAGCGTGGAAGGTTCTTAAGAAGCGCCATGCTACATTTATTGTGCTACTTCCTAAGAAGTCGAGAGCGACAGCTATTAAGGACTTTCGTCCTATTAGCCTAGCGAGTGGGATTTACAAGATTATTGCAAAGATTTTGACGAATAGATTAAAGAAAGTGTTGGGGAAAGTGGTATCTAAGTTTCAAAATGCTTTCGTTAAAGGGCGCCAAATTTTGGATTTCATACTTATAGCAAATGAATGCATTGAATCAAAACTGCGTCTGAGGGTTCCAGGAATGTTATGTAAACTTAACATTCAGAAGGTTTATGATCACGTTAACTGGGGATTTACTTCGTATATGCTCAGGCAATGTGGTTTCAGGGAGAGGTGGTGCCGGTGGATTCAGTTTTATATCTCTACGGTTTCTTTCTCAATTCTTGTGAATGACACTCCACGGGGTTATATTTGTAGTAGCAGAGGATTGATACAAGGGGATCATTTGTCTCCTTTGCTGTCTGTCATTGTAATGGAAGCCTTTAGTAAGAAGCTTGAGAAGGTTGTAGGGGAAAGTTTGTTAAGGGGCTTGTTTGTTGAGCAGTTGCAGGTTTTTCATTTGCTATTTAAAAATGATACGTTAATTTTCTGTGATGCAAATGTTGAGAAAGTTAGGAATTTGCGTTGTTTGCTCCTATGCTTTGAGGTCGTATCTGGATTGAAAATAAATTTGGAAAAATATGAGGCTATCACAGTGGGAGAGGTTGATAACGTGGAGTTAGCTGTGATATTGGGTTGCTGGGTTGCGCAACTGCCTATAACATATCTCGGGCTTCCTTTAGGAGCACGCTTTAAAAGTACACAGATTTGGAACAGTATTGTGGAAATGGTGGAGAGAAGGCTTGCGGGTTGGAAGCGTATATACCTATCGAGGGGAGGCAGTCCCACTCTCATAAAGTCCACGTTGTCGAATCTCCCTACTTATTTCTTGACATTGTTTTCGATTCCTATTGCAGTGACAAAAAGATTAGAAAGATCCAAATGGAGTTTCTTTGGGAAGGATTATGTGAGGAGAGGAAATTATATTTGGTTAACTGGGGGGTAGTTTGTTCTCCCATAAGGTTGGGTGGTCTCGAACTGAGTATCGTACTGTTTAATAAGGTCTTGTTGGGTAAGTAGTTGTAGCGATTTGGAGTGGAGAATGAGAGTTTTTGGAGAGAAATTATAGGGGCAAAATATGGTGTTATGGAAGGGGGATGGTACTCAGTTGAGAGTCGTGGTTCTTATGGGGTGAGTTTGTGATGGTATATACGGCGAGAGTGGAGCGACTTTCGAGATAGATTGACTTTTGTAATGGGGAATGGTAATACCATCAGTTTTTGGGATGATTGTTGGTGTGGAGATCAACAGCTTAAGGTGAGATTTCCTTCTTTGTATCGTATTGCGTTGGTGTCGCCTACCATGGTGAATGATGTCTTAGATATTCATAATGAGGCTCCAGTTGGAACATTGCTTTTGGCGAGGGGTTTGCAGGATTGGGAATTAGATGATTATGCGTTGTTTTTGATATCTCTGAACAAAGTACACATCAGGGCAGGAGAAGGTGATTGTAACAGGTGGAGGTTGACACGAGATAGTATTTTTTCAGTTCGCACTTATTTTATATCTTTATTGGGATTTCTGGAGAGTTCATTCTCCTGGAAGATAGTTTGGAAATGTAAATTGCCTCCACGGGCAGCATTTTTACTATGGTCGGTGGTCAGAGGACGTGTGTTAACGGTGGATAATCTTCGTACAAGAGGTTTTTATGTTACAGAGTGATGTTATATGTGCAAGAGGGATGGGGAGACGATTAACCACTTAGTCCTTCATTGTGATATTGCTCGTTTATTGTGGAACGATATCCTGGCGTCGCAACACATGGATTGGGTATTGTCGAGACGTATGGAAGACGTGTTAAAGGCACGGAGGAGAAAGCTTCGAGATAAGGATAGCAAACTTGTTTGGAACCTTATTCCGAGTTAAAACGTATGGTATGTATGGAGAGAAAGAAACAGCCGCTGCTTTGAAGATTTAACACGGACAATAGAGCAGATTAGGGAATTGTTTTATTTGACATTATATAATTGGTTTAATGCTGCGGTTACTAAGCATATAGATGGACTGTCTAATTTCATGTTGTTACTTTCTGATTTAAAGCGATAATACACTTCTTGTGTATTATACATTGATTAAGAAAATATTCGATTATCTTTAAAAAAAACAATTAAAAAGTAATTTGTTGTTTTTAATTATATAATTCCGCATGTTGGGTCTAAATATTCAGTAATTTAAAACTCACATAGATAATTCTAGGTCTATTTGGAGAAGAAGCATCAATAAATGGGCTGTAAAATATGAGACGGACAAACCCATAAAATTCTGGAAATTTCTTTAAGTCAGCGGTGATCTTCACAAGGATCACTTGTTCACGTTGTTTGATTCATGTCATACTGCCTAGATTTCATGATCATAAACATTTCAACTTGTAATTGTTACATGATTGAGATAGATGGGAAGTTGAAAACTTGAATCCCCAGGTTGTATACTGATATCCAGTCAAGTCACAAAGAGTTGGCACATTTCTATTTCCAAGAGAATTTTGGAGAAAGATAGCTTAAAGCATGCACGTTTATTTTGCAAAAGCAGCAATGAAAAGTTTCGATAAAGTTAGACCATTCAAGTCTTGATTAGTTTGAACACATCTTCCCACTCCCTTTCCTTGACGGGTCCTTATTTATAATCTTATCTTCATACCCAAACAATGAATTTAACTTAAAAGTATAAGTTATACAGTTCGAAGAAAATTATAACTCATGACATATGAAATAAACATGAAGTCATGAACAGAAAACCAAAGACACTTTCAGATAACAACGCACCGATGTATAGCAAAGAAATGGGATGAAATGAAGTAGTGAAGTACACCTAAATAGGCAAGCGGATATTGTAGTCATTAAACAAAACTGAATGAATATATGATCACATAATGTATTTGATATGAATACAACGAAGCAGTTAATTTCACAAATATAAAGATGGAGTCCTAACTCTTGTTTAAATACTAAAAATCCCTGATGACTAAAATGGCCAAACAATCCCCAGCTAAGTTCTTACTTTAATGACAAATAAAATAAAGGGAAAGTACATAAAGCAATTAAATAAAAAGCTTAAACCATCCCAATTCTGTATTGCACCACTAAGGCTACTTTTGGTGTTCTGGACTTAGAGGCTTCAACAGTAATTCAGATTTCAAAGGATAAAAGATATCCCCCAATGTTCATTTATGAAAGCGTTGGCATGTGGTTGGACTGGCACCAACTTATACTTTACCAAAGATTAGTTTAAAATATATTATGTTCTTTTCAAGTCAATTTTTGTAGACTCTTTTAGAAAATTAATAAACTTCCTTCTAATTCTTTGAAAACGAACCATTTCTACACCTTAACCATGGCCGTGTCAATGTGTGAGAAAGAGCTCTATCCAACAAGGCAAGGAATGGAAATAAGAAACTGACTAAGCAGAAAATAAGTTGGAAAAATTGTGATTGACCAAAGAAGCACATCAGCAGGGTGGAAAGCCACAATTCATCAAAGGAACTTTGAACTGAGTAGAAAAGAGAAAAAACATGGACGCATTGAACAACTAACCAGTAAGTAATAAATCAGCTATCTTATGTCATCTCCAGAGTGCAAAAAGGAATCAGTTAAAGAGAAATGTGGTCACATTTCCACTACCTCATTCAACTACAACATTTAAAATCCTTCAGAAGAGAGACAAATATGAGAAGAACCCAATATACATGCATATCATCACTTGAATCTGGAGGTAAATGACCTTATGTTCCAATACATATTGAAAGTACTCTTATGCAGTATAAGCTACAAATGGTTTACTATCTTGTATAATATAAAAATATGAAGAAGCCGTGATTCATTAAATAGCTTCTAATAAATTGAGTTTCAAGAGAAGTACCTTGGCAGCTTCAGAGGAATAACACCACTCTGGAGATATCTCACGGATTGTGAACTTCTGCTTTTGAGAAATGGTCAAACTCGAATTGTCTTCAGGAGGAATTCCAATCTGACCTTGGTCAAAAAATGTTGCATAGAAGTCCAGATCGGTTTCAAAAGTATTCACTGAAGGAGAATATGCAGGAACTTTGATAGACTCAACTTCTTGGGTGAACATCATAGAAGCTGGTAATATAAAAGAGTTGTCATAATGCTATACAAACTCAAGAGTCTGAGTTCTGAATGAGAAGTATTTCTTGAGAAAATCTTACACTCTGGGGCATAGCCTTGTCCATCAAGGTTTAGACAATTAAAATTGTCCTGCTCCCTTACAGGCTCATTTGGTGATGGATTGAGCAGCATACCCTGTTGTAAGTGCAACTATGTTAATATAACAGAAACATCAAATTTCCAACTTTTAGCCTGACAATGTTCAATGCCAACAAACATATTGCAACAATGGTTCAAGTTAATGCAATATACTTCTGCATCCTATATGTCTTCTAAGAGACTAAAAGAATAAAGGGCACATGTCTTCTATGATTTTGTCAATTTACTACATATGAATTTGATCATTAGTGTTCATTTGCACTCTGATGTTTCTAACTATTTTTTGACTAATATCATCAAATAAACAAGCTCCTTATCATGCCAATCCATACATTTGTGCTTTCAACCATCTCAATATTTCTGAGGCTGTCTCTTTTTCGTATGGAAATCGCTGATTCCATTTTACAACTAGGAATAAAAAAGGACACATAACAGAAACCAAGATATTCCTAGCCACACAGAACATAGATGACATTAGAAAATCAAGCCAAGAACCTATACGGCAAAGTATCTTCTATACTAAAATATACATACTCATTTTTGTGAAGGCCTAAATCTCATTATAGAAATTTTTTATACAATTCAGTTTTTGCACAACTAAGTCAGCAAGGCATAAACCTTGATTAGAAGCCCTGAAATCATAAGCTTTGAGGTTCCTTGTCAACACCGCATGATGAGCGCCTCAAGACATAAGCCTTATTCGCTTTTGAAAACACTGCTTACAATACTATGAATATGCTCCTTCTTAACCTATCCCATCTAGTTTTACTATAGATCCATCCATCTTTAACATTCTTATCTCAGTTTCACTCAATCAATGTGTACGTTCCTTCTTTTAGCCAACATTTGTGATATAGAATTCCTAATCCTATTGAAGTTCTATAACATATCCCCGTTTGTCTTATACTAATTCTAATCACACAAAATCTCATATGCATTCCTCCGTAAGTCCAACAAATCTATGCCAGTTAAGTATCATCATCTCAAATTTCCACCTCCCCATGAATGACTGGCAAAAGTGTCGAATCTTTGAATCTTCAGTTTTTTGTAATCCCCAACATTTACTGCCTCTTGCATGTACTCCCACCTTGACTATAACTACACCTCAATAAAGATGATGTGAACGGGAAAAATAAGAATTTAAATAAGAATTGCCTTTTCCAAAAGACTTCGTGTAGGGATGAGTTTATATTCCTACAAGTAACATTGATTTATACGTTAATTTTGACTGATGAAAAATATTAAAAGGGAGGGTGTTCTTGACACTGCATGGAAAAGGGAGAAAATGTTTACCTCATTCACCACGTTTATCATACAATCAGGAATACTTATATTCATTAAAACTAAAGGAAGGATATTGTCGAGTTGGAGAAGAAATGATAAGCAAATAATAGTCCTCACATTTTCATTCAACTTGTGCTCATATTTTGCTTGTGTTTCAACATCAGGCAAACTGTTAGAGCAACCTAGCATCTCTCCCCAAATATTTACTTCAGGCCCTAAGAGTTGATAACGATGTTCCATCCTGTCACCTGCAAAGTCATGCCCCATTAGCAGCCATTTTGGCCCACTTCTGTTTCTAAATCATAGAAACTAACTCGTGAACTACCCTTTAGTTAAAGAAATAACAGGAAATTGAGGACACACCTGAGTGACTTTGTGAAATGAGATTCTCAAAATGATCTGGACTTTGAGCAGACAAGTCATAATCAAGTAGCACATTTTCTAAATTAATTGAATCCTCATCCTCAACGTAGCTTGTGTTAAATTCTTTCTCCACGTCATCATCTAAACTTAATTGCTGCTCAATTCTTCGCAGTGCGTCACTGAAAACAGGCTCAGACGAAGTATTAACCTCATTCGTTCTCTCTATAAGGTCTGATGGATTTATCCCATGAATCTCAATGACTTCATTTGAACTAATTTCCACAGATCCAGGACTAGGTTGACTCTGATTTGGTTCATTAGATTCACCAATGACAACAGAGGAGTCTGGCTGCTGAGTTGCAAAAGAGGTGGGACTCATATTGAGGGTAGAAGAAGATAATGGCGAGAACTGGGATGACAATCTAGCATTCTGTGTTCCCTGTAATTCCCAAAAAATAAAAAAAAGAGGACATGTTATGTTATTGCTCAAGTTATCTAATATAAAAAATAGGAATGCTCTTATTAGTTACAGGCTTGCAGCCATTGTGCATGGAAGTAAACATGTTTGGCATGTCCAATTATCATCTACAGTAACTAAATGGAATAATGTGCAATGAAAAATGTGCACGTGATTTGTGGATGTTGAACAAACTGCCCAGTGCCCACCCACAAAGACTGATATCAGAAAAGTCCAACTTTGGCTCCCTGATACAAGATTTTAACACGAAGGGACTTTCTGTTAAATCATTACGAACTTGGCCAGAATAGCAATTTTTCTGTCAGGTAAGTCACTGCAACCCATTGCGAAAAGCTGCATGTTCTACTAAGTAGAAGATAAAACAAGAAAAATGATAAGTTCAAAACAAAACCGTATGGACGTGGGTGTCACTGAGGCATTTCAATTACTAAGATTACAGTAAGAAAATGAAAAAAAAAGGAAGAAGACGAATAGGTACAGGTAAGTGTAATTAGTTTATGCACTTTCTCCATGCTTAGGTTTAAGAAGACTCACCTCCTCAATATTTCTGTAGTGAACAAGAACAATGTGCTCGTAGGCCCTGCCCAAACACAAAAATATATCAATTTAAAGAAAGCACCGTGAGAGTTGGAAAGGAAAATAGCCCAAGTTTTATCTGAGAATAAATAACTCAGGATGTAAATTATTGGAAGCTTATCAAGTCAACATCCATTAGACATTTGTTTCTATCCCTGTGCACTGAAAACCCACATACATCTAACTTACAACTTTGACAAGAAGAATTATATGTGAGAAAATTAACATCAGATAAATGTCCAAACTCACGGGTCCAACATCCAGAAGCTGCGTCTCTGAAAGCTGGGGTTCTGCAGTCCATGAGCATAATAGCAATTTAGAACTTCAGCATTTCCAACCTGACACGAGAAAAATTTCAGAAATTAATGTTAATATTAAACTCCACAAAACTCTAAACAAGGTTTCATTACACTGGGCAGAAACTAACAGGAGATGATAATGGGAAAACTTGAGATGAATCTTGTCAATGACATATTGTCACTTAGGTTGTGATGGCTGTTCTATAGGTAGCCTCCAAGCTCAATGGCCAGGTTAGATAGCTACGGGAACATGAATTTGCTCGAGCACACAATATCAATAATCCAAAGAGACTGGATTTTGCAGCTGCTGTTCTACAAATTAACATTTTACAAAAAGTATACCTTAGGGAGGAAGGCAAAAACTTTTCACCTCTTGTACATATGGAACTGTTACCATGTCTTCATAAGAAATATTTTTTATCAAAATGTATCAGCAACGATGAGAGAAAGAAATTTAGAGGGAAAAAAAAGGGAAAACACATTTCTTTTGCACGATTCAAATAACTAACACGTTTCTCACTCACTTCTGATGGTTGCCGATTAAATTGTATAAACGTGGCCAGCAGCTTTCTTAATTTATTAGTATAATTCCTCAATCAATTGATTATTTTGTTTATTGGTAATTCCAAAAGAAGTAGAGGCAATAGGAGAACATTAACAACCTTAAGCCGTTCATGTGCTTCAGCAATAGTCCTCTGATCTCTCCTTCTACGCCAACTATGACCATCTTTGCGAAAATATTTTAGGACTCGTTTATTGAATAGATACAAAGATCCACCTGTTTAAGTCCATTTTGTGATATGGAAATAAAAATAAATAAAATTGTGTAACAGGCATAAAATGGTATAGAGTTACACAAAAATGAGAGATAAAAAAATGAACATTACTAGCTGGCATATGTGGGACTTTGTGGGTGATCTGGTGATCCTCATGGTTTTGAAGTATGAAAAGCACTTCAACTGGCTTTAGCCACCGGATTTGAGCTTCCTGAACCAGATATTTGATATCATATCCTGAAACTCAAGAGAATGGTTACATAAACATAACCTCGTTCATGGTGCCACTAGCTATCAATTCAACTTATTACATTGGAAGGATAGCAAGATGGTAGCATTAGCTACCAAATGAAATTCTTACATAGAAAACGAAGCAACATCGTGGAAAACTGCATTTCCAGGAACAAATTATGATTTAAACAATTGTTAAAAAGTATGCTTCTTTGAAAAAACTTTACATATAAAAAGGAACGAAACATGCCAGATGGGTTTTTTAATTTTATTTTGTCAAGTGTGATAAGGGCTGCTTTAATAAATTCCACTGTTATTCAGAAGAAGAAAAATGACAAAAAGTTCAAATTTCTGACAATTGATCACAATATATTGTGTGGCTAAAACAGACAATATCCTGATTATATAACTTGCTTCCAATTTCAAACGGCAAATTTCAAGGTGAAACGTCTAACAAACTCTTTGCAAACCATTTGGCTAAGAAATGAACACGCTAGACTAAGGCCCTGTTTGGGAGGGATTAGATTTTTCTACAGTAAATCAATTCTCATTTTCAACTACAATTCTTCAATAAAATAATATTTTCCATCACATCAATAATTTTTTCTTCTTTTTCAATCACACATTTCCCATCATATCACTATTCAAAATCAATTCTTCCCCCAAAAATCTCTCCCAATTCAACTACACATTCTTCAATAAAATAATATTTTCCATCACATCAATAATTTTTTCTTCTTTTTCAATCATACATTTCCCATCATATCACTATTCAAAATCAATTCTTCCCCCAAAAATCTCTCCCAAACAAGCTCTAATACTAAAGGCTTTTAAGGGTTTTACTATCAATTTTTTTATGAAGCCCAGAACCTGCCGATTAAAAGTTAAACCTTTGACGATCAATCCGTAATTCGATCAGTCTTCGCATCTAGATTTTGCATTTACTATATTTTCTCCAATCTATCTCATTAACAAAAATTTTCCTTTTAATTCTAATACCATCAACACTAAAAAATAAAAGCCGGGCACTCTTGAGCTATACTGCTGAGTTATATGCTTAACAAAGCAAGATACCCGAGTTTCTGAACTGTTCATCAAAATTTTGAACCACTTACACTCCATTTTTCACATATTTCACAACCATTCTTCTTGTGGTTAAAGATGAATTAGAAAACACTTGAATTACAAAAAAGGGCAAGGGGAAAATAGAGCTGGAGAAGACTCCAGGATCACAAACTAATGAAATCAAGTTAACACAAGATAAGTTCACTTTATAGAGAAATTAACTGCAAAAATGCAATTCATGTCATATAAACACCATACATATACTTCTACTCAAACAACACTTGAATTACAGCTATTACCAAATCAACAAAGTTATTAAACTAAAATACCTGATTGCATCGTACTAATCATACTCAAAAACAAAAAACCGCAGTAATTTTAGCAAAATCACATCAATTTAGTTCGTATTTTCTTCGGTCGCCGCTGAAGATACTGAACGTCATTGTGCGATAGGGAGTCAATAGAGTCGGAGTGAGAGAAACAGCTTTCTGTACTTCAAAACGACGGGTCAATAATTGATCATACACCGGGAAGACGAGGAATCTGCCGAACAGGAATTGATTACATTTAATGGAAATGATTAACAGTCAATCGCAAGTGATTAAATACAATCTATCTATTCTTCTTGAAAATAGGGTAAACAAAATTGGACTTTGCTTAGTGTACATAATTGGACACCCCTATATACAATAATTATGTACACTTAGCATTTTTCAACAAAATTTGTTTATAAAATAAAAATACAAAAATTTACTTATAAAATATAAAGTTAATTATAAATAAAGCAAATACTTAAAAGTTATTTAAAAATATAAAATTAGCTTATAAATATAAAATTTACTTAACCCCTGCTTTATGGCTAAAGAGAAATTAGAAAAAAATAATATTTTGAATATTGATTTTTTTTTTTTAGAATATAAAGAGTTAATTTAAAAAGAGTCAAACAGGGCTTATAAGCAAATAATAATAACTTAAAATTTTAAATAAAATTTAAATATTAACTTATATGTAAAAAAAAAATACTTACAAGTAAAATATCAATTATGAGTAAAAAGTTCCCTATAAAAAATTATAAATTGAAAATTTCACTAAGTATATTTAGCCTCTATTTGGTCTGGATTAAAATCAATTCAAGTTAAAGTCAAACAATCAATATTAAACACATCTTTTACGAGTTCTATAATTTTTCAACCACACATTTCAAAAACTTCTATCACAATTTTCTAAAAATCTAATTTTAATCTCCACCAAACACCCTCTTAGAGTGTGTTTGGTAGGGATTTTTGGGGGAAGAATTGATTTTTGAATAGTGATATGATGGAAATGTGTGGTTGAAAAAGAAGAAAAAAGTATTGATGTGATGGAAAATATTATTTTATTGAAGAATGTGTGTAATTGATTTTTGAATAGTGATATGATGGGAAATGTGTGGTTGAAAAAGAAGAAAAGAGTATTGATGTGATGGAAAATATTATTTTATTGAAGAATGTGTGGTTGAAAATGAGAATTGATTTACTGTAGAAAATGATAATCTGTACCAAACAGGCCCTTAATTTTATTCCTTTTAAAAAAAATTTGAAATCAGATGATAATAAACTCTCGAATGTAGATTTGACTACTTTAAAATCGCTACTAAAATCATTCAATGATAGAATATCATGTGACATTCTGTCAAAAAAGATCTCAAAATCAGGGAGAGTACCAACCGACTTTCCAATGGTTCCTAGAGCTCCTTTTTGGGAAGTGGAATCCTTGTTTTGTGGGAATAATTTTGCACGAAAAAGGACATCCACAGAGTTGAGGTCAAAATAAGGTGACTTCTTTCAGTCTTTGTACATTTCAACATGAAAGGCACGTTTTGGAAAGAAGTTCACATTTGGAGTTTCAAACTAGATTTAGCCCGGTTTGACGCCATCAATCAAGAATTCTTTTTTTCTTTTTTCTACCTTATTTGCAACTATACATTTACACGATTAAATATTCTACTCGTTAATTCAAAAAAATTCTCTATTTTTCAACAACCACCAAACAGGGCTTAAAATTGACTCTCAAGTACATTTTTGTGACATTTTAATGTAGGGTAACATGCACAGAAGTGTGAGAGTACAGAAATCACAAATAATCTTTTAATTTCTGTTGATTTACACTTGAATAGTAGAAAATTAAGTATCAAGCAGTCGTCGTTGATAAATAAAGAATGATGAAAATTTAGATACATAATTAGGAATAAACAATTTTCATGTGGACTGCTTCGACACATTAGCTCTTCTAAGCAAAAGAAATACTCTCGAAGAAAGTGTGCCTAAGTGTCAAAAAATGTGTTCAAGACTAGAGTTAATTTAAAAAGAGTCAAACAGGGCTTATAAGCAAATAATAATAACTTAAAATTTTAAATAAATTTTAAATATTAACTTATATGTAAAAAAAATACTTATAAGTAAAATATCAATTATGAGTAAAAAGTTCCCTATAAAAAATTATAAACTGAAAATTTCACTAAGTATATTTAGCCTCTATTTGGTCTGGATTAAAATCAATTCAAGTTAAAGTCAAACAATTAATATTAACCACATCTTTTACGGGTTCTATAATTTTTCAACCACACATTTCAAAAACTTCTATCACAATTTTCTAAAAATCTAATTTTAATCTCCACCAAACACCCTCTTAATTTTATTCCTTTTAAAAAAATTTGAAATCAGATGATAATAAAATCTCGAATGTAGATTTCACTATTTTAAAATTGCTACTAAAATCATTTAATGATAGAATATCATGTGACATTCTGTCAAGAAAGATGTCAAAATCAGGGAGAGTACCAACCGACTTTCCAATGGTTCCTAGAGCTCCTTTTTGGGAAGTGGAATCCTTGTTTTGTGGGAATAATTTTGCACGAAAAAGGACATCCACAGAGTTAAGGTCAAAATAAGGTGACTTCTTTCAGTCTTTGTCCATTTCACGTTTTAGAAAGAAGTTCACATTTGGAGTTTCAAACTAGGAACCTGTTTGATAAGTGATAACCATTTTTTGCAAAAATGAGAATGCTTTTTTTGACCGTTACCTGTGTCAGTGGGGCCTAAGGTGCTACAGCTTCTGAAATGGCAGCAATTTGTTTACAGAATTGCCCTAACTTCATTAAGAAAGAAAATTATTTGAAAGGGCAACTTGGTAATTTAATTGAATTTTATTTTCAAAAATTGCGACTCCTTCTAACCCTTTACTGTATAACGGTGGGAAATTGTCTAAAAATGAGGCAAAAATTTCCATCAGACAGACAGTAGATTTAGCCCGCTTTGACGCCACCAATCAAGAATTCTTTTTTTCTTTTTTCTACCTTATTTGCAACTATACATTTACACGATTAAATATTCTACTCGTTAATTCAAAAAAATTCTCTATTTTTCAACGACCACCAAACAGGGCTTAAAATTGACTCTCAAGTACATTTTTGTGACATTTTAATGTAGGGTAACATGCACATAAGTGTGAGAGTACAGAAATCACAAATAATCTTTTAATTTCTGTTGATTTACACTTGAATAGTAGAAAATTAAGTATCAAGTAGTCGTCGTTGATTAATAAAGAATGATGAAAATTTAGATACATAATTAGGAATAAACAATTTTCATGTGGACTGCTTCGACACATTAGCTCTTCTAAGCAAAAGAAATACTCTCGAAGAAAGTGTGCCGAAGTGTCAAAAAATGTGTTCAAGACCAAAAACATGTCATGTGCTGAGCTATCAAAAATTTATTGAAAGACAACCAGTTCAAGATGGTATATTTCAACTCCTCAAAATGTAGCAAACCGGCCAAAACTAGAGTGGCCCAGTACATTAACTGCCCGTCTAGAACCGACCAGGCAACGCCAAGGTCCAACCTACCTCAACAACTGGGCAGCGCAGAGCTCAGGTATAGAAGCTCATGAGCCCCTTGGACGGGCCTTTTATTGAAAAAACTTCAAAACATAAAAGCCAAAAGGGAGCTTAACCAAAAAGCCAACTGAAAGCAACTATACAACAAGTATTGTATATCAGTCAATCCTTTGTTCACAACTCTCACCCAGTCAGGAAGAAAAAAAGAAAACAAGGGCACAAAAACACGAGGATTTGGTGCGCCAAACTGTTCTATTTCCACCAATCTCAGCAAACACGAGTTTTTAAAACGAAAAATTACACAGTTTTATAATGCTTGTATATATTAAACGCGCAGAAACAATAAAAATAACTAATCAGCTTCCTCAATAGAGCTCATTATGTGGAACCAAAGATGTGACGTCCACAAGCTCGTGTAAGAAATATCGACAATTATGTATCGTCCACATAGCAGGATGTAGCACCATGGCCAAAGAATATGAGTGCTGCTAAATCCTTCCGCGTAAAATCGAACCACTAAAATGGTCTCACAACAGCTTCCAGGCTGCAATACAAAGGAAAATTTTTATCAGCGACACTTGTCTTTGACAGATAAATATCAAAGATTACATCTGAAAATATTTTCTGCTGTCTTCCCATCTCATTTACCAGAGACTGAGTATGGAAAGTCACATAACTAGACTGCACATCATTTATATGTGGAATTATGCATTTGGCGATCTACAGTATCAACAATGTGTTTATTGTAGTCAGAATTAAGCTAAATAGTAGACGGTAACCTCAATTTATTAGTTTTATGATTAGTCTGTGGTCAGATGATAGCCACGTATCAATTAATAGAGTAATAAAGGAATTGATGCACTTGAATAGCCTAAGGAATTGATGCAACGCCATATAATAACAGAAGAAGAGAGAAGACGGGGGACGAAAAGAATGAAGAAGTGAGAGAAAGGTAAAGAATTGGGGAATTAAGGAGAGGGCAAAACTTTAATATTCAATAGTCTGTCTGATTCAAAAACATATGCTTACAATCCATAGTGGGAAATAAAAGATAAACAAAATCCCTTAAGAGTAAATCTTATGTTTTTTCCTCAAACTGAGTGCTTAACATTGATAACTCTTCAGTATATTATTCATTAGGATGTTCATCAATACCAAATCTTCCAGAAACTGCCATTTATTTTGCATGCAGAGCCCTGAGAAATTACAACTGGAGGTTCTAAAGAGCCATTCTAGCAAACATAGGTTAGTTAGAATGCAGATACTAGCTAGAGAAGGCTTGTAATGGTACTTGAACTTCAAAACCAAGTCTTGCTAAAATTTAGTGCTTGTTTGATAAAGCTACAAAAATTTTATCAACTTTTCTACTGTCAAACTTCGATTTTAACAACACATTTCACGGCATTCACAACTTTTATCAATTTTTCATCAAACACTTCATTTTGACTGAAAAATGCTTATTCCAAATTTTGACTACTAAAAGAATCATTTCTTTTAAAACTTATTCACTTATATGTACACTTGTAAAAACTTATCAAATTGATGAAATTTCTTCTTATAAACTCCAAAGAATTGCTAAGACTATCAAAAACATAAACTCGCAGTCTCACATCAACCGCTTCAACCCTTTCAGAGCCTAAGTTGTAGTTTTTAGACTTCGCTTGCTGATAAATTTAAGATGGCTCATGAAATTCGATTCGTTCCATGTTGTACCATGCATAAACTACAGTCCACACTCCACAACATATCATAAATGGCCTTATAATGGCAGCGATATGGGGACGTAACAATTTGACAACAAAAACTGAAAAAGGAACTAGCAATTTGACAACGAACAATTGAAAATTGAATGAGAAAGGAAATCCAAGAAGAAGAAATTAAGCAAAAGAAAATCAATTTATTCATATATTCGATGGCATCTGTAAACTAAAACCTATTTCCCTTTATATGGAGAAGAAATTAAGGCAAGAGAAAAAGGAATGTAACAACTTCATAACGAATAATTGAAAAAGGAACAATAAAGAGAAAGGGGATCAAACAAAGAAATAAATTAGGACATTCAATAATGTGTGTAAACTAAAACCTAAGTTATATAGAGAAAGGAATTTCAAACTAATTAAACTTCAGATTTAAACAAACTTGTAATAAAAAATAACATTGATAATATCGAACTCCTAACGTCTAAAACTATTAAAATTTAGATGAACTCAACTACTACTTCTTTCAAATATATCGGCTTCAGTAGACTTTGTAACGGTTTCCTTATTGCAATAAACAAAAACAAATATGAACAAACTAAAAGTCCCTAATAGAACTTGAACAGTGGGGTTCTGATTAGTGATAACTAACCAAATTATTCAGAGATTTACTAATCATACTTAACAAAACAATCATAAACTCAAGAAAAAATTGACACTAAAAGCATAGAACTTATTAACAAAATTGCACTTCTCTCCCAAATTGAAAACAACAGATTAATTGGCCAATTTCAGACATTCATATATTCAAGTGAAAAAATAATACATCCAAATAAAGACCAACGAAAACTAAACAAATTTCTCAGTAATAGAAATACAAAGCTCAAAGAATCTTGTTAATTTCAAAATCAAATATAGAATTTCCAGTCAGAAAGAAAAATCCACAAAGTCCAAAAAAAAAAAAAAAAAAATCTTCTGGGGTGAAGAAAAAGCATATTGCTCCGATAACCAATAGCAAGTCATATGGCATTTTTGGGCACTACCAAACATTCTCAGCTGAAAACAGATAGAGCGCTGATAAAAACCAACCGAGAACTTCCACAAATAGAACAATATTACCAAAAAAGAATCAACCGACAAAGAAAATCCAGAAAATCAAACTGAACAGAAAAAGCTAAACGCACTTTTATTAACAAAAATAAGGGCATATTTCTAATGTTAAAAAAAAAAAAAAAATATAACCAATCCAAGAACCCAAGGCATCAACATAAACCCGATAAAAAAAGTCAACGATCCGCACAGCATTAAAGACAAAGAAATCCCAAGAAGCAGAGATGCAAATCCAGCCGGCGTAATCTGCTGCATCGCCGGCTCAATCCTCGACGGAGGACGGCGGCGGGGTTGGATCTCATCGGAGAAATCAATCGGCGTCGGAGGTGACCGTATAATATTCAAAACCAAAGCTGATAACTCGTAGAAAATCTTGGACTGATGATCTTGTTGATGTCTTGATTGGCTTCTCATCATTTTTCCTATCGTGGGTTGTCTAAGATCTTGAAAATAAAGTACTATACTACAGCAGTAATCCAAGAAAATTTGATAGGGGCAAGAAATTTTTTTGCGGTAATCGAGGCAAGTGGATAAACTTCTTGATTACGAATGGATATATAAATCGGTAGTTATCTATCTCCTTTTGATTGGCTTCTCATCATTTTTCCTATCGTGGGTTGTCTAAGATCTTGAAAATAAAGTACTATACTACAGCAGTAATCCAAGAAAATTTGATAGGGGCCAGAAATTTTTTTGCAGTAATCGAGGCTAGTGGATAAACTTCTTGATTACGAATGGATATATAAATCGGTAGTTATCTATCTCCTTTTGGGGGCTTTCAATTTTTGTTGGAGTTCTTGTATTTCGTGTGGAGAGTAAGCAAGAGAAGCATAGGGTTAGTCTTTTTCTTCCTCAGAATAAGAGGAGTGGATAAAGGAAAAAGTGCTTATAGTTATAGATTTACGAAGAATCTGAGGGGGGTTATTATTAATTTCTACAAGGACTGTTTATTTCTTCTTTCTTTGTTTTTTTAAAAACCTTTTATTCATGAATGATTTGACGTTTAGGGTGAAAATAGCGTGATAATGGTCCCTTCAAATAAAAAAGAAGAAAAAAAAAGGTTAATTTCGATGATTATCCAAGTTTGTAAGAAAATTTAAAAGTCATTGAAGTAATTTTATTATTATGTCTCTAACTATTTTTCCTTTTTGTTTCATTATTTTCAAAATATATTTTTTCAAAACTTATTTTCAATTGTACATTCTTTCATAAAATTATTACAAATAAATTTAGCCACTGTTTGGTGCAGCACATTTTGAGTCAAAGAATACATTTTTTTATTTGATGTGACGGGGAATATGCGATTGAAAAAGAAGGAAAAATTATTGATGTGATGAAAATATTATTTTATTGAAGAATGTGTTGTTGAAAATGAGTAGAAGAATGAGAATGAAAAAAAATAATATGATTCAAACGAGGGCTTAAATTTTTCTTATCTTTTAACCGTACATTTTCTAGAAAAAATTATTCCAAAATACAAATTTTTTCCCAAAATCATATTAAAATGGAGCTCAAAATGGGAGTATAGTGACAATAACTCATTTAGAAATTAGTTATACCTTAGGCGATCTCCAGTGCTACATCAAATTTTGTACCAAATTAAAATTCATCTCCAACCATTACACCAAAAATTACACCAAATGAACAATGTTTAATCATTTTCGTGTTTTTTTATTCTTAGTAATTTATTTATTCGAAATATTATTTNGTATGTGGTTGTTGTATTATATTTCGTGTTAACTATAAATAATCGTGTTTGTTATATTTTAAATTTTTTATTCTTATTTTAATTAATTCACTAATTATTATTTTCAACATTTAAAATTTATTTTAAATGCGAATAATAATAATAATAATAATAATAATTATTATTATTATTATTATTATTATATAACACAGTGACATAAATACCCTCAAATAATTCTTTTAGTAAATGAAGAAAGAGGTAAATTGGACTTTGCACCATTTTGGTGTTTTGGTGCAAAAGTGAATAGTGTTGCACACGCAACACTGTTGCGTGTGCAACAACACTATTCACTTTTGCACCAAATTTTGGTGCATTTTGGTGTTATGGTGTCTCCATTGGAGATGTCCTTATTTGTCTAAAAGCTCGTTCGCTATCCTCTCTTGTACTGTGGTGTCATTGAATAAAAATAGAGTATAAATAATATTTTACATTTTTATTAAAAAATAGTTCAAAACAAAAATCTTGAAGTTGGATGGGGCTAGAACGACCTTCCCGTTGAAGATTTTCCTAAGATGAGACGAGACGAGACAGAGTCGAGGTGGAAGAAGTATTAAAAAAATCAATTTAGTGCTCCATTTATTTATTTACTTAAATTTTTTAATAAATTTAAATTGTTAAATCTAGAATAAAAATAATCTAATTGTGGTTGCCATCCTGTTTGGCTAAATAATATTCATCATCAAGGTGGCTACGGTGAGATGTAGTGATGGCAAAAACATCCGCCTCATCCCTCCCCGCTCCAAATGGGGCAGAAAAAACCCGTCCCGACGGGTTGGCTTGGCTTGGCGGGGCGGGGAGAGGTGCCCCGTCCCGTGAAAAATAAAAAAAATAATTAACTACAAATTAAAAACAAAATATAGTTAATTGGAGGTTTTTGAACCCACCCCATTGCCATTTCTAGTGAGATAAAGTAGTGAATTTCAATTCTAAATGATAATAAAAAACAAATGGTAGATATTGGGGTCAAAACAAATTAAAATGAAATATTATAAATTTGATCCATCTTATTTTCACCGTCTACATTGCCCTTGAGATTGAAAAAAAAAAAAATTGACTATAGGATTCATTAATTCTTATTATCTTTTTAATATCGCTCGAACAACGAGTCATGTGCATTAATGAAAATATATATACAGCGTCTCTTAGTCTCGCAACTAGATCTTATCATCGAGACTTCTTATCTAAAACTCAATTTCTTTTTTCATATTAATGTTATCCTAATAAAGTCAATTAAACATTCGAGTTTTTCCTGAGCCCCTATTTGATGGTCATTATTTAAAAATAATATTTTGAATATTGATTTTATTGAGAATGTGTGGTTAAAACTATGAAAAAATTATGGATTTAAATTATGGATTTACGTTCACAATATTTTATTAAGTGAATGTATGATTGAAAATGAGTATGTACAAAAAATAGTTTTCAAATATTGGTTGTCCAATTACCTAAAGTAATGGACAATTCCCACAAAAATATTTACCCATCCCAATTTCATTATCGAGATTGTACGCTATAAATTATTGTTGAGAGTATGATGTCGTAATTTCTAAATGGTTGGAACTAAAAAGTTGAGGTTAGAATTGCTACTTCCGGTAATGGTTGTGGACGAAATTCGTAAATTACTCTTAAATTATGTATTTGGTTCAAAAATTTTAAATTCCCGTATAATCACTACAATAGGCCTATTTGTTATAAACTAATGTTATCTAACACTAGTGATGCTAGAGCATCAATTCAAGTGGTCACACATGATAGGTGTAATTAAATGAATGTTTTGACTTTGCATTTAAATGAAGGATAAAACTGTTTGTACATCAGGTTGTACGTATATCTGTCTCACATGAATAGTGTGCGCGAATATTTTATTGTGTGTGGGACCCCCTCCATGTGAAGGGGTGTAAAAGATTGTGTGAATGATTATGTACATGTAGCATGATTGTTAAATGAATATATCATTTAATGACATCTTATTGTCACCTAAACTGATGTTAAACAATAATAAATAGCATTGTGAATGATTATGTACATGTAGCATAATTGTTAAATGAATATATCATTTAATGACATCTTATTGTCATCTAAACTGATGTTAAACAATAATAAATAGCATTATTCTTTGACATAGTTTTTGCTTCTTATAAAAGAGTTTTAAGAGAAAGATACCTTAATTTTTGTTTGAAAATTTAATTTTTGAAAGAGTTTTCTATTTCGCAAGTATTTTTTTAAAAATCATATTTGATCATTTTTTTTCTAAAAACTCTTTTAATTAAATGAAGTACTTGAATAAAATTAATCCAAATGTAATTTTAGAGCCCGTTTGATGCACAATGAAATGAGAGAATACATTTTTTTTGAAGTGATATGATGAGGAATATGTGATTGAAAAAGAAGGAAAAGTTATTGATGTGATAGAAACTATTATTTTATTGAAAAATGTATGGTTAAAAATGAGTAAAAGAATGAGAATTAAAAAAATAATGTAGATCAATACGTATATCTGTCTCACATGAATAGTGTGCGCGAATATTTTATTGTGTGTGGGACCCCCTCCATGTGAAGGGGTGTAAAAGATTGTGTGAATGATTATGTACATGTAGCATGATTGTTAAATGAATATATCATTTAATGACATCTTATTGTCACCTAAACTGATGTTAAACAATAATAAATAGCATTATTCTTTGACATAGTTTTTGCTTCTTATAAAAGAGTTTTAAGAGAAAGATACTTTAATTTTTGTTTGAAAATTTAATTTTTGAAAGAGTTTTCTATTTTGCAAGTATTTTTTTAAAAATCATATTTGATCATTTTTTTCTAAAAACTCTTTTAATTAAATGAAGTACTTGAATAAAATTAATCCAAATGTAATTTTAGAGCCCGTTTGATGCACAATAAAATGAGAGAATGCATTTTTTTTGAAGTGATATGATGAAGATTGATGCACAATGAAATGAGAGAATACATTTTTTTTGAAGTGATATGATGAGGAATATGTGATTGAAAAAGAAGGAAAAGTTATTGATGTGATAGAAACTATTATTTTATTGAAAAATGTATGGTTAAAAATGAGTAAAAGAATGAGAATTAAAAAAATAATGTAGATCAAACAAGTGCTAATCTCAAAATTAATTATGACTTTGTAAAGTAAACTGACCCTTCCCCCTATTCACTTAATTTAAGTCCTTGTTTGTCACAGATTTTTTAACCAAAAAAATTGAATTGTGTACCGTTACTTTTTAAAAAATGCAGCCATTGTTGACTATCTTAGACACAGGTGGGACCCACCGTTTGAAAAAAAGGCCATTTTTCTGCTTAAAATCTGTTGGAAATCGATAACAGACATGCCCTAAGCGTGCAAGCAAGAAGTGTGGTTGGGAAAGCAATTATTGGATTGGACTGGGTGGGCCCAGTGGACAGGGGACATTATCTATTTCAAACATTGACAACTACAAATTGGAATGGTTCAAAGTTAGCCATGTTTGACTATCATTATTTGGTTATTAGCATAAAACATTCCTACGTTTGAAGGTCATTGTGAAAAACATTCTTACATTTCATTTTTATTTTATTTTATTTTTTTTTGTATTTTCACCCCTTTACACGTTTCATTGCGAAAATCATTATTTTCATCAAATTTCACAATAAAAAAATGTGGAATGACAAATGTACCCTCATATTTAAATATAAAGAAAAGAAAAATAAAGAACAAATTGCAATCATACTCCTAGATCTTTTAAAAAATTGAAAACGAACCTCAAATAAATTAGTATTTTTAAAAAAAAAAATTCATTCTTCCTCCTTTCCTACGTCCACCACCACAATCACCACTTCAAAAATTTTCAATTTTGAACAAAAATGGAACAAATTCATAGCCATGGCTTGTTCAACATATTTCCCACTAAAATCTTTATTTCTCCTTGAAAATAGCTGAATCGACAAATTCATAGACAATTACGCTAAAAATCTGGTGAAAATTTTCGTGCAAACACATGGGAAATAACTCGAATTGGATTCCCTGAACGTGCAAATCATCTTAGGGGACAACTCGAGAGGTTGGTAAGTGTGGGGATGCCCATTCACACTGTTGTACAATTCACCATTGTGAATATTTAATGTGTGCATCCCTTTGGATCCTGTGTTGTAGGAAATTCGACAATCTCAATCGAAAGAATAAATAAAATGAACAGAAAAAAGAAATACAATAAATGAAGCGAGGTATGCCAAAGTAAATCTCCTTAATATGGATTTCGCCCCCCAAAAAAGTGTAAACAGGATTATGGACGTCTGTCTCTCAAGATACAACGCTCATTCCAAAGTCGATATTGTACAATACTAACCTTGTCGATCAAACCAAAGAATGATCGTACTCGAATAGAATAATCACGAATATATTTGAAAGAAATTTTGCAGAATTTGGAGAAAGAATGAATTTAAAAATCGATATTATTTTAATTGATTTTGAGTGTTGAAAAACAAATCTAGAGGCCTCTATTTATAATTATTGAAGGGTTTCAAACTTACCCACACACTGTAAAGATGATTGGTGCACCACTTGTTCTGATTCGTTTTAGCCATTGGATCGCACAATTTCAAGATCTGACTGTCCAAATTAAACTATGAAGTGTAGTTTCCATTCATCATATCTATTCACCAATTTCTGAATAGTCACCAGCCATGCAGATGCCACATGTACGTCCAACTGAACTAACGCCATGCGGGACGAAGTGACACCACCTGTTACGTGTGTGCTACCTAGGATGCCAACTTATCGAGCCTCCCGTTGTCATGTCATCGAACCATGAGTCCATTTCTGAAAATTATAAGTTCCACAGCTCCTCGCGACGATACGTACATGTGAAGTGCAAAGTACGCCTCTAAAGCGCCCAATGCGAACTTTGCAACTTGCGCGGGCCGGGGCTTGGCACAGCGCGAGTGGTACGAATCAACTTATGGGCCTATATTGGAGACTTTTCTAATTCACCCAAATTAATTACAATGACACACATACTTAAATCTCACATTTAATTAATTAACACTTTATCAATT